AAGCTAGCACTAGGCATGTCTTAGCTATTCATTTTTCCAAGGGAACTAAGAGGAAAATCAAAGGAAGTTTTAAGAAAACATCCAAAAATTCTAAGGACAATAACAAAGCAGGCAAGGACAATTCCAAATCTGATGACCCATGCTATCACTGTAGAGTGAAAGGTCATTGGAAGAGGAACTGCAAGGCTTACCTCGCAAGCTTGAAGGGAAAGAAGTCTTCTGAAACTTCTACTTCAGGTATTTTTGTTATCGAGGTTAATATGTCTACTTCATTAACTTCTTGGGTATTAGATACCGGATGTGGATCTCATATTTGTATAAATATGCAGTGACTAAAGAGAAGTAGACTACTGCAGAAAAGAGAAGTTGACGTGCGCATGGGAAATGGAGCAAGAGTTGCTGCATTAGCTGTAGGGACATACTTCTTACCACTACCATCAGGCTTAGTGTTAGAATTAGAAAATTGCTATTTTGTTCCAGCCATTACTAAAAACATTATTTCTATTTCGTGTTTGGACATGAATGGTTTTTCAATTAATGTTACGAACAATCGTTGTTCGTTTTATAAAGATGAAATCTTTTATGGTTGTGGTGTGTTGCAAAATGGAATTTATATTCTTGATACTGAGTCATCTATTATGAATATAGAAAATAAAAGGTATAAAAGTGATAATCTAAATAATACATACCTCTGGCATTGCAGATTGGGTCATATTAACGACAAACGCATTTTCAAGTTACATAAAGATGGATACTTGGATTCAACTGATTTTGAATCATTTGACAAATGCGAGTCATGTCTGTTAGGCAATATGACCAAGTTCCCTTTTACTGGAAAAGGAGAAAGAACCACAGAACTGCTGGGACTAATACATACTAATGTATGTGGACCCATGTCAATAACTGCCAGAGGTGGTTTCTCTTACTTCATCACATTCACTGATGATCATTCTAGATATGGTTATGTGTATCTGATGAAATTCAAGCATGAAGCACTTGAAAAGTTCAAGGAATTCAAACTTGAAGTAGAGAAACAAACTGGTAAAAATATACTCACGCTGAGATCAGATCGAGGTGGAGAATATTTAAAGGGAGAATTTTTAGATTATCTTAAAGAGAATGAGATTCTCTCGCAGTGGACTCCGCCATATACACCGCAACATAATGGTGTATCTGAACGGAGGAATCGCACTCTGTTAGACATGGTGCGATCTATGATGAGTCATGCAAACATTCCAAAATCATTTTGGGGTCATACACTAATTGCTGCGTGCTACACACTTAATCGTGTCCATTTAAATCGGTCGACAAAACTCCATACGAGCTATGGAGAGGAAAAAGACAAAACTTATCTCATATGAAAGTTTGGGGTTGTGACGCTTATGTAAAGCGAAATGAATCAGATAAACTTAAGGCTAAATCTGACAAATGTGTATTTGTGGGATATCCAAAAAAGACAATTGGATATCAGTTTTATAATCCCGTTGAGAAGAAGGTGTTCATCTCAAGGTATGTCATATTCCTAGAGAAAGAGTTTATTCTAGGAGAGGGTAATGGGAGCAAACTAGAACTTGAAGAAATTCAAGAATCCACAGATACTGTTGACCAATTAGATGAACCTGAGTATGATCCTACACCTGTTGATAGACAGACTCTTGATCAGGATGTAGAGAACCCTGAGGACACTCCAGCTCAGCGTAAATCAAGTAGGATCATTCGACCTCCCAGAAGGTACGAATTCACGATTACTAATCAAGTATTATTAGTTGAGGATGATGAACCTACAAATTACGCAGAAGCAAAGTCAAGTGTTGACTCGAAGAGATGGCAAGATGCCATGAAATCTGAAATGAACTCAATGTATGAGAACAAGGTTTGGACCTTGGTCGACCTTCCATGTGGGATAAAACCGATAGGTTGTAAATGGGTTTACAAGAAAAAGTTCGATGTGGATGGAAACGTCCATACATACAGAGCAAGGCTAGTAGCGAAGGGTTACACACAAAGACAAGGTGTTGACTTTGATGAAACCTTTTCGCCTGTAGCCATGCTAAAGTTCATTCGGATTTTGCTTGCAATAGCTGCATACTATGATTATGAGATATGGCAAATGGATGTCAAAACTGTTTTCCTTAATGGAAACTTACAAGTGGAGGTGTACATGACACAGCCCGAAGGTTTTGAATCCAAAGGAGCCAACAAAGTATGTAAGCTAAATTGATCCATTTATGGATTAAAGCAAGCTTCTAGGAGCTGAAATCTTCGTTTTGATGAAACAATCAAAAGGTTTGATTTTATCAAAAATGAAAATGAACCGTGTGTTTATAAGAAGACAAGTGGGAGCACGGTCGTATTCCTGATATTATATGTCGATGACATATTATTAATGGGAAACGACATCCTAACGCTTCAATCGGTAAAATTATGGTTGTCAAAGAATTTCTCCATGAAAGATATGGGAGAAGCAGCGTATATCTTGGGAATCAAGATCTATAGAGATAGATCTAAAAGATTACTAGGCTTATCCCAATCTTCGTACATAGATAAAATTTTGAGAAGATTTAATATGGAAGAGTCTAAAAGAGGATTATGTCCCATGTCGCATGGGATTTACCTCTCAAAAGATATGTGTCCTAAAACACATGATGAAAGGAGTCACATGAATAAGATTCTTTATGCTTCGACGATAGGATCTATCATGTATGCGATGCTATGTACAAGACCAGATGTTTCATATGCTCTAAGTGTTACGAGCAGGTTTCAAGCAAACCCTAGTGAGAAATACTAGATAGCGGTTAAGAACATTCTCAAGTACTTGAGAAGGACTCAAGATGTGTTCTTGATCTATGGAGGAAATGAACTGAAAATTCATGGGTATACTGATGCCAGCTTTCAAACTGACAAAGATGATAGCAAATCTCAGTCAGGATATATGTTTACTCTCAACAATGGAGCGGTTAGTTGGAAAATTTCCAAACAGGAGACAACTGCTGATTCAATAACAGAAGCTGAGTACATAGCTGCTTCTAAAGTAGCGAAGGAAGCTGTCTGGATCAAGAAGTTCATCAATGAACTTGGAGTCGTTCCTAGCATTGTTGATCCCATACCTTTGTATTGTGATAACAATGGAGCCATCGCACAGCGAAGGAACCGAGGTCTCATCAACGATGCAAACATGTACTAAGGCAATATCATCTCATCAGGGAGATTATACAAAGAAATGACGTAACGATAGAGCGAGTTCCCACAGATGACAATATTGCAAATCCACTGACAAAGCCGTTGTCACAACAGAAACATGATCGTCATGTGGATGCTTATGGTATTAGATACGTGAGTGATTGGATCTAGTACAAGTGGGAGTTTGCAAGTGTTATGCCCTAGATCCAATTGATTTAGGTTGTAAAAGCTTTTAATATGTTTAATGCATTTAATTTTGGCGAGATCTATTATTTATTTAAATTAATTTTGTGATAAATAATATTAAATAATAGAATCCGAAGATCCAAGTTTAAGTGATTTGTTAATCACAAGGAGTTGTGATTGTGAGATACAAATTACATATAATTGGATCTTGAATAAACCGTGGTCGTAAGTAATAACGAGATACGGATATCATTAATATAGATAGACCATCACGTGTGACACTTCTTACTTATGAAGTAAGTAGCTGATCTCACGAGCTAAAGTGTGATGACACTTAAATGAACATGTGGATGTTTTGTTATAGAACAAAACATTGGAGACCCGCTAAGAGATTCCACATGGATAACTATCTGAGTGTCAGTGGTTAATCTCTAACGTTCGGTAATGAAATTGGTCCTACAACTTGAGGTCATCATAGTACGTTATATGAGGACAGTTATATTTTGACGGTGTTGGATGTTTATCTGCCAAGGGCCGCTAATACGACATCATTCGGGTATGTCAAGAACCATATGAAGGTTGTGAATGATCAATAGAGGATTCGTCACTCTTAGATAGTAAGAGATTGTGATCTGCATTTCGTTCAATTAAGTCAATAATGAAATCCTTGGCCAAGGAGTACATATAAGTCGAAAAGGAGTTTTCGACTCATATTGACTTAATAGAAGAATGAAAGATATGATCGATAATCGAGATTGACACACTTCCTTATCTAGTAGTTAATCGGATCATATTGACGAAGGGATTAAAATTTCATGGTAAACGAACAGTTTTGGTTTTGTCATACCACGTGACATTTTCCGTCAGCTGTATTGCCCTGATACATTGCTAGATGTCAATCTGGGACGACGAGTGTGAATCTTTGATAAATTAAAGAGTGTTTAATTTATCAATTTTGATTAGATCAAAATAATATTTCACGTCGTTAGGCATCGTGGTCGGGAACCTAATGGGTCGCACACAAAAGAGAAATGAAAGATTGCAAATTCCCAATTGATTAGTTTAACAATCGTTGGATAAATTAATTAATTGGATTTGTTATTTATATTCCCGAATTAATTAATTGGATTGATTAATTCACGGATCGGGTTTAATTAAATGGATTAATTAAATAATGGACCGGATTGAACCGAGCCCGTTTGGGTTTATATAAATACGTGACTAGGGTTTGAGGTCCATAAGGTTTTCATTATTCTTACTGGCACAAGAGGAAAAACCCTAGCAGTTGCAGTATATTTTCTGTGTGGATTCATTGGAGGCTGGACAATTGGACAGCTATGGGGGGCAGATGCAAGCTGCTGGAAAGGAATAACGCGAAGGAGTTTGCAAATTAAAGAAAAGGTATATTTCTCATCACAGTTTTTATCTAAATACAAAGCTGAATCCTGAATGGGAATTGAAATTTGTTAAATTCCGCTGTGTATGTTTAAGTAAATTCCCAACAGTTACCAGGCAATTGCAGGAAATGATTGACTTTGACAAAACAAACTGCTTGTTGCCTTTCTTTAGCAGAGAAGACTGCAAAAAAATTGAGCATTTTTTCCTCCCTAACACCATCCATTTCTACACCAAACATGTCATCAGCATCCCCTCCCTTCTGTTTACACCAAATGGAAAATCTTGTCTTCTTCTTCCTTTATCCTCTACTTTGCACCTTAGCAGTTCATTCCACAGATAATTACCTCACGCTGGATATAGCTATTAACTGTGGTTCAACTGGCATTTCAACCGCTTTCAATAACAAAGAATGGACTGGAGATATAACAGAATCAAAATCTACTTCCTCACTATTGATAAAGGGCTCATCCACCACATCAACTGCCTTCCATAATTTTGTTTCAACAGATCCCATTCCCTACCAGACAGCTCGAATCTCTCGCAAGCAATTCTCTTACACGTTTCAAGTACCAACGTTTCAAAAAATTTAAGGATTTGTTCACTGTCGAAGCTGGGGCTTTCAACTCTCCTTAGAAACTTTAGCACTTCACTAACTGCTGATGCCCTCGGTGTGAAGTTTTTGGTTAAGGAGTATTGCATGAATATAGAACAGAATCAACCCCTGAGTATAATTTTCTCTCCTGAACATAGTCAATCTGCTAAAACGTATGCTTTTATAAATGGAATAGAGGTAATACCCATGCCTAGTGATCTTGATTATTCTCATGATGATGATGATATTGGAGCCCGAGTGGTTGGCCAAAAATCTCGATTCTATATCGATAACAGCATTGTGCTTGAAATTATGGAGCGATTAAATTTCAGATGGGACCCTATTCCTTATCCTGGCATGTTTGGGAAATGGGCAATTGTTCCTGATGAAAATATCAAAGATTTTACCTGGAAAACGTCTATGGATGTTGGATTCGGATACTTGCTCGGGCTTCATTTATGCGAGAGAGGACTTCAGATGGCAGAGACTAGAAACAGCGTATTCAGTGTCTCCATAAATGACATGATTGCAGAAACTAATGTTGATATTGGCGTCGTCAGTGGAATCCATTTGCACAGAGACTATATGGTGATGGTGAAAGGAAACAAAGAAGATGGCAGGCGTGATATATCAATTTCCCTGCAGTTAAATGATGAATTGGTAAGTGAACTCTTCAGAGGATTGGAGATATTGAAGTTGAGCAGCCACGATAACAGTCTTGCAAGTCCAAACCCCTCCCCTCCCAGACGATCTTCAAAATCCGCTACAGTGCTAAATTTACAGTCATTTTTTGGTCATGGAAATGCAATTGCTACTGGTGCAGTAATTATAATATCCCTAGTCAACATCATTACTTATAATTTGCGAAAAATTTGGGAAGATAACTGTACCAATTCTGGATACAAACCATCAAACTTGACTGAAAAACTATATCGTCCTTTTTTGCTTACTGAGATCCAATCAGCTACTGAGAACTTCAATGATGCACTTGTTATTTGGGAGGGGTGGATTTGGCAAAGTATACAGAGGATTTATTAGTAAGGAGCAAAAGATTGTAGCCATAAAACGATTAAAATCCAATTCCAGGCAAGGGGCGCGCGAGTTTTGGACAGAGGTCGAAACCCTTTCGAAGCTCCAACATACTAATATCATTTCTTTAATCGGACACTGCAACAAGTGCCAAGAAATGATCCTTCTCTATGAATATGCTTCTAATGGCACATTGGCTGACCATCTCTCTGGACTCAGTGGAGATAGCGATTATCACTCTTCTCTCTCTTGGAAGCAGCGACTGAGGATCTGCACAGGGGTAGGCCGAGGATTAGACTACCTGCACACTGGCACTGATCAAGGAATCATACACTATGACATAAAGGCTTCAAACATCTTGCTGGATGAAAATTTGGAGACTAAGATTTCAGATTTGGGTTTAGCCAAAGCTTGAAAGAGAAATCGGGTGCAAAGCTATGTCAGCACTAACGTTAAAATAACATATGGGTATATTTGTCACAATACACACAAGAGGTAATTTTCATTCATACGGTCAATAGGTGGGTTACAGAGTTTATATAGGAAAAAAAACTCCTAATTTTGGATAATCACAAATCTATAGCTAATTAATTGATTCTACACATAGTTACCGAATTCTATTCCCTTAAAATGATACAATTATATATGATTTATGTTTCCAGAAAAAGATTTCTAACAGCTCACGCCAACACTCCCCCTCAAGTTGATGCATACAGGTCTCTGATACCTAACTTGTCAAGTGAGTTGTGAAAGTCCTAGCTTGAAACTGCCTTTGTGAGTATGTCTGCTAGTTGATCCTTGGACTTTACAAAAGAGAAACGAATTGTCTTTGCTACCAAGTTTTCCTTGATGAAGTGTCGATCTATTTCCACATGTTTTGTTCTATCATGTTGAACCGGGTCATGAGATATGGCAATGGCAGCTTTGTTGTCACAGTATAGATCCATCTCAGTAATAGGAGCAAAGCCAAGTTCAGTGAGCAATTTTTTGATCCAGAGGAGTTCACAAAGTCCTTTTGCCATTCCACGAAACTCCTCTTCAGTACTCGATAATGATACCACTTTTTGCTTCTTACTTCTCCATGTAACGAGATTACCGCCTACAAACATGAAGTAGCCTGAGGTAGACCTCCTATCTGAAATGTTCCCCGCCCAATCTGCATCTGTATAGCCATCAACTTTCAAGTGATCATTCTTTGAAAACATCAGTCTCCTCCCCGGTGAGGACTTTAGATATCGAAGTATTCGAGTCACAGCATCCATGTGGTCTTTGCTAGGGCTATGCATAAACTGGCTAACTACACTTACGGCATAGGCAATATCTGGACGAGAATGAGACAAGTATATAAGTTTGCCAACTAATTTTTGATATCTCCCTTTATCCGTTGGCACTTGATCTGAACACTCACTCAGCTTAAGGTTTTGAGTGATAGGAGTATCTGCTGGTTTACATTCCAACATCCACACCTCAGCCAACAAGTCTAGCACATATTTTCTTTGGGATAGGAATATGCCTTGTCTTCATCTAACCACTTCAATTCCCAGGAAATACTTGAGGCCTCCCAAGTTCTTTATCTCGAACTCAGACGCCAGCTGTTTCTGAATTCTGGATATCTCTTCTTTATCATCCCCTGTGATAATCATGTCATCCACATACACTATCAATGCAGTTACTTTGCCTCCATTATGCTTAAGAAAGAGTGTATGGTCTGAGTCACTCTGTTTGAACCCATATTTCTTCATTGCCACACTAAATCGTCCGAACCATGCTCGAGGTGACTGCTTCAAGCCATATAATGCTCGCTGCAATTTACACACGACATTTTGTGAAGACCCTGTATAGCCCGGAGGGAGGTCCATATAGACTTCTTCTTCGAGGTCGCCATGAAGAAATGCATTCTTCAAATCAAGCTGATGTAGTGGCCAGTCAAGATTAGCAGCGAGGGACAATAGTATTCTAACAGTGTTTAGTTTAGCAACTGGTGAAAACGTCTCTTGGTAGTCTATCCCATATGTCTGTGTATACCCCTTCGCGACTAGCCTTACTTTGTACCACTCAATGGATCCATCTGCCTTGTGTTTGATGGAAAATATCCATCTGCATCCTACTATCTTATTTCCTTCAGGTAATGAAACTAGTATCCACGTGTTATTCTTTACTAGTGCCTCCATCTCATCTTTTATTGCCTGAGTCCATTTGGAATCTGATAAGGCATCCTGAATTCCTGTTGGAACATGATTAGAAGAGAGAACATGTACAAAAGCTTTCATTGGATCAGATAACTTCGTGGTGGATACATAGTTGGCAACTGGATATCTTGATCTTCGTTTTTCAATGTCTGGAGAGTATCTACTTGGAGGTTTGCCTCGATTATGCCTGAAAGGTAAATTATAGCCACCAGGAGTATCTAAATTGCTTATATGTGAAGGAGTACTGACCTCAGAGATATTCTCAGGATATGGGCCTGCGGATACTGAAGAGAAAGGGGGCTCTAGTTCGGTGGAGTTTGGTTCAGCTTCTACAGTTGGTTCCGGATCTTGAGTCATATCATTCCTTAAGTCAATATCTATCGGAGCTGTCTCTATCTCAGTATTATTTGACCACTCAAACTTCGACCAATTCAACTCTTCATCCCTTGTCTCCCCCTGAAGAGGAGAATTGGATGTTGCAGAAAAAAATGTGTCAGACTCCGAGAAGGTAACATCCATAGCTCGTTTGAGCAGACCAATCTTGAAATTCGTGTGCTCATTTTTAGAGACTTAATCGGATCGAATCGCTCGTTGGAGCTTACTGGGCTCTAATACCATGTCACAATACACACAAGAGGTAATTTTCATTCATACGGTCAATAGGTGGGTTAAAGAGTTTATATAGGAAAAAAACTCCTAATTTTGGATAATCACAAATCTGTAGCTAATTAATTGATTCTACACATAATTGCCTAATTCTATTCCTTTAAAATGATACAATTATATATGATTTATGTTTCCAGAAAAAGATTTCTAACAGCTCACGCCAACAATATTGACCCAGACTATTTCAGAAGTCATAGATTGAGAAGGAAGAGTGACACATATGCCTTTGGGGTTGTGTTGTTGGAAGTACTGTGTGAAAGACCAGCACTGGATCGAAGAGTCGAAGAGGATAAGCAGAGGATCCTCGCCATTTGGGCTCAAGATTGCATCAGCAAAGGAGAAATTGATCAGCTTGTTGCTCCAAGTCTGAGGGGCCAAATATCAATAGAGAGCCTGATGACATTTCTTGAAGTTGCTAAAAGATGCTTGCATGACGAACCAAATAAACGGCCTACAATGGCTCAAGTTGTGGTACAACTTGAGTCTGCACTGGAGCAGCAGGAAAGTTCAAACTCTTCTGCTCCAGAGATAACGAGTTCTGATAGTGTCGTGCCTTGTGCTGGGAAAACTTTCCATTCAATTAGCACAGAGATAAAAGAAATGTCCTCTGTGGATGAGTAGAATAGGCCACTCTCTCTGACTGAAAGAAGCAAAATGGTTCAGAATGCTGAGCCATCAGGCAGAGGAGCACAAGTGTTTAAGAGAAACAAAATTGCTTATAAGCTACCACGATTTTGGCCATGGAACGCATTATGGAAAAGGGCAAACAAAATAAAGAAAAACCATTTATCAATACCAGGTATTGTAATGACTGTATACAAATTAGATAACAACCTCGTAATTGGAAGTGATTTCAAATGGTTGTCTCATCAACTCACCCTAAGCTCAATAAGAAGAAAGATGCAGTTTTATATATTACATATTCTTGTCTTACGTTCTGTTACCTGTCTACCTTGTGGATTTATTATGATGAACCTTACACAGAATCATTTATAATTGGAGCAGCCAAGCTAGAAATTAATCTTAGGCTTGTTTGAGACATCTATCTCATGTAAGTTCTATCTGTGTGTTTGCGTGAACGCAAAGTCTCAAATATTATTATCAAAATGCTTCTCATTTTTTGATGTTTCAGTAAGTCTAGAAATGAAAAGGATAGCCTGAAAAGGATACGTACGATCCCAAAATTATTGGAAGAAAAACGTAGTATTTGTTTGTTGTTTTAGTTGTGAAACAATTGTTGTCAATACACATATTTATGTCTTCTGAAATTTTTCAAGTAATAAACATTGTATGTAAAATAGCTTATAACTTAAGATCTTGATTGAGGCTGGTTTGTCACTGTAAGTGAACAAGTCAAGCTTGGTTCCTTTGATAATTAGAACGGACAAGCTCGAGCAAACTTATTTGAATTGCACTAGGTTCAATCCAATTTAAGTCTCACAGTGAATAATGGAATTATCTTGCAGCATATTTTGGAGAGGAAGTTGCATCGCATAGATTTGATCTGGCTACAATTGCAGCTGCAACTAATTACTTTTCGCGACCAAATAAGATTGGAGAAGGAAGATTTGGTACTGTTTATAGGGTCAGGTTTGCTTTACCTTGTTTTGCTTGGAAATTTGGATGGTGATTTGAAGTTCAATCTTTCTGCTATTGCTATTCTATTGGTATAAGGTTTGTTATCTACAGGACAGGAAGTAGCTGTTAAAAGGAAGGCATCGAATAGCTGCCAAGGCTTTACTAAATTTAAAAATGAAGTCCTTTTGCTTTCCAAACTTCAGCATCCAAACCTCATTAAACTACTTGGAGATCGCATTCATAGAGAAGAATGGATACTTGTATATGAGTTCATGGAGAACAAATCTCTAGATGCTTACCTATTTGGTTAGATTCCAGTCATCCTCTCATTTTTCTAAGACTACACTTTAGATTCTGGAATATAATTTTCTTCTGCACTAATTAAATACTAATAAACATATATGAGCTAACTTGACATGAAATGAGACAGGTGAAACAAGACATAAACTTGGATGGACCATACATTTCAAAATTGTTATTGATATTGCTCGTGGAATTCTTCATCTTCATTAAGATTCAAGATTGAGAATTATTCATAGAGATATCAAAGTAAGCAATATTTTACTTGACAAAGAGATGAACCAAGTAAGCAATATTTTACTTGACAAAGAGATGAACCCTAAAATTTCGAATTTCGGTTTGGATTGTACTTTAGAAGAACATCAAGCTGAAATGACAACCTCGAGGATTGTTGGGACATAGTAAGTATCAAGACAAACACGCGTGCTTTTAACTCTACCTCCATCTAAAGTAGCACACCAATTTGTGTAATTTATCCAATATTGGCATGCAGTGGTTATATGTCTCCAGAATATACCATTCATGGTATAGTCTTAGTTAAGTCAAACGTGTTTAGTTTTGGAGTTGTTGTCCTAGAGATTCTGCATGGAAGAAGAAGCTATAGTTTTTGTAGCCCTCAGGAGTGTGAAGATTATAGTGCTCTTGACCCTCTTAAGCGTGTAAGTAAAGGAAATAACTTAAAGATTATCCTTCTAATACTTGATGTCACCAAATATATACGCTAAGAAATGAGTTGTATATATATGGTATCTGTTCAGGTCTGGAAGATGTGGAACGAAGGAAAAGCCTTAGAATTTTTAGATAAATCAATGAAGGATGAGTTTCTAGCAGATGAAGCACTAAGATGTATACAAGTTGGACTTTTATGTGTCCAAGATCTACCTGGTGATCGACCAACAATGCAATCAGTGCTAGGGATGTTGGAAGGAGAAGTTCCGTCGTTGCCACAACCATTACCACCTCGTGCATATGTTAAAAAAGAAACATATTCTAGTTCGAAGATGAGCACTCACATCAACGCTACCAATGAGGTAACTATTACAGAGTTAGAGTGTCGATAGACAGCATGTCCACATGACTGTAGCCTTTTTGGTTCAGTTTGAAGGTGTCTTTCATATGATTGTCAACAAAGAAACATCATTAATCTTATGAAGCTATTTTATGTTTGCATGCTATACACAACCCATATAGTAGTTTTTTGTATGTAAATCATATAAATACGTTAGTAATAGTTCTCATTTGCATCCTTTCTTTGAATTTGAACAGTTGTAATGACATTGAAGTCCTACATTTGAATGATAAGACTATTTGTCTTTTACTTTACTAAATTGTTTTTTATTATACAATTTTCATCGGATAGACATTTCGAGCTCATTTGTAACAAATGGTAAGATTGCATTTAAAATTGAGTATGAATGAAAATTAAGGAATATCAAGTCATTTAAGTAGCCATTATAGTGAAAAACGACACATTATTACAATAAATATAAAAGAGAAAAAATTTTGAGAACTAAAAAAGAAAAAAGAACCCATGTAAAAAGAACATACATAAAAAGAATGGTGCAATAATATACAGCAAGTAAATTAGTCGTGTCCGGCAAGAGGGATGTGAAAGTAATCTTTATTTAATTTCAAAAATGAATTGAAGAAATTTAATGACTACTTTAAATATAGAGGCATATATAGAGGCATACCTTTCTTTTTCATTCCTTCATCCTCCTTATAAATTAAGCTTTGTTGAACCTAATCCACGACCTATAGCTGTACTATTAACATGGTCTTTTGTTAATATGTAACAACAAAAATTTGTAACGACAAAGGATAATATTATTATCAGTCTCTCATTAACACCCTGAATTAGGGGTTTTGATTTGAGCCGAAAATACTATTCAATTCCGTAAACACATAATAATCACAAAATAAGTAATAATCGTGCGAAAAATTAAAGAATACGAGAGATGTTTCACTCATGAAAGATTTCAAATGTTCACGTGCTCTAAATGGTGCTACTTAACACTCAACAGTTTATACATACATTTGTATTTTCAACTACTAAAGGGGGCAATGGCGAGTGGCAGTGGTGTTTTGGGTTTGTGTGGAGTAAGGCTGTACAAAAAATCAAATCGAACCGAAATCCTTAAGCTGAAACCGTTGATTTGGGTCTACGTGGACCCGTGGTCTTATTTCCCTTAAACCAAACCAAACCGTTTCAAAATAGTTTGGTTTAAGTTTTGATTTTCAAAAATCGCACAAAATCGAACCGAACCGTTTTAATATTTTTTTAATTAAAACATTAATTTTATTAACTTAAAAATTTTACAGTTTTCACTTTTTAGAAAAAAAATATCAATTTAGCAATACAAATTACAACCAGTCTATTGAAATAATCATAGAAAATAAATTAGTTTCATCATTATTGGCTTATAGTTTAACAAGTTCACAAAGCATATTCTCACATAATATCTAAACTAAACTAAAATTATTTCAAAATCATATGAAATAATATATATATATATATATATATATATATATATATATATATATTCAACAATCCAAATTATAATTTAACAAAACTATGTCAACAAATCTCCTCCAAAGTTTCTGAAGCCCTAGCATAAATTCTCATTTCCTTAACATTTGACACTTGTCTGCCACTACTGAACGAATTGCCAGTCACCTTTGCCTATTAGTATGCTAATTTCTACTTGAATTGCATCTCTCTCTTCTCTTTCGGCAAGTCTGAGACTCTCATTCAAACTATTTTTTCATTGTTCTTTCTTTTATTTGTTGTTTTTTAAATTATTATATACTTGTGAATTGTGATTTGGATAGAAAAATAATTGTTTGTATGCTTTGATGATTAATGAATTTATTTATGGTTTGAAAAGAACGAAAGGACGGATCGTGTTCATTATGTGAAAATGTTAAAGTTCTTTAACTAGTACTACTACCTTCTACTTTCATAAAGTAGTTAGAGAATGAAATTCATCAATTCTTAATAAACCTAAACTCTATCAATCTTTGTACATCTAAATATATCTCGTTCAATCCTTATTTAACATCTCACTAGCAAGATGAAATGAATTTTAACCAAATTATAATAGTAGAACGTAACTCTATTTTTACCAATCGCTATATGACAATAGGAATGTCAAACAAGAAAATGTAAATAAAAATGAAGAAAGATATATTTGTTCTATTAACATCTTTCAGCAATTATCTTTAAAAATAATTTATTCATGAGTTTTATGGTAAATATGAATGTAATTTAACATTTAACATTATTAGTTATCATTTAAACTTATATGTTAACTTATGTTAAATATATTACTATAAAATTGATAGGTAAATCGTGAATTAAAACTGAATCAAACCGCAAATTATGGTGGTTTGGTTCGAAAAATAAAATGGTTTGGTTTGGTTTGAAAAAATTTCAAACCACTTAAAATAATTTGAGTTGAAAATATAGCACAAACTATTCAAACTGAACAGCATTTACCCCTAGTGTGGAGCAGGGTAGAAGAGGAATAACTTTTTTTTCTTTTTATATTATATGCACTATAATTTTTATTTCTTGCACCACATATTAGTTATACTTAGGCCTAGAAGCCGTTTGGTTTGAGTCGATTTTGATTCAAACTTGAAACCAAAATCAAATTGGTTTGGGTGAATTTTGACCCAAACCAATTTACTCTAACTCTTAAATCTAACTGTACTAAACCAATATGGTTCAGTTTCGATTAGCCGATTTGGACTTATCGTCCAAATTGATTTTTTTTTTAATTTTGTGTCCACTTAGATTATAAGAACTAAAATAATCGAATAATTTTATTTTACAAGAACCATTGACTAACAAATAAAATCAAGTTAATAGAGACAGATCGACCAAAAAATTTAAGAATTTTGTTCTTTTTTATACATTATGTAACTTGATTGACTGAGTAAGGAAAAAGACTAAGTATAATATAATGAAATTGTGAAAGGAAATTTTCAGTACTATTACTTACTAGCGACACATAGATTGGAAGAAATTGAGATATAATTATAAGATTATGAATTATATTTTAATTTTTATCTTTGTTATAAAAAGGTAAACATGTAAGAGGGTTAGGCCAGTTCGATTAACCAGCTATTTGAGGTTTTAAATCATGGCTGAACCGACCCACTTTATTTAATAAAAAAATCAAACTAAATCAATTACATGTATCAAACCGACCTCAACCAGTTTGATTTGATTGGTTTGATCGATTTCTCGATTTTTTTGCCCCCATTCCTAGTTATACTTAAGGTTCTTAATCTTTACTCATTATAACACTTAGCCCTTGTTTGAGCCCCCATTCTTCCAAAAATTCATTCTTTTCAAAACTTATTTTTAACTACACATTTTTCAATAAAATAATATTACACACAAATTCAAAATTTTACCTTAATTTTTAATCACATATTCTCCATCAATCATTATTTAAAAATGTATTCTTTCACTTAAAATGGGGCTAAAACAAGGGCTTATATCCCTAAAGATTTTTCATATCATTTTTTTTATCCTCAAAATTTTCATTAGTTAGCACATTCTATAATTGATAATAGTTTTATGTCCAAAAATTTGTTGAAATGACATAAAAGAACTTATTTTTCATCATATTTTAAAAAATAGATAAATATAAAATACGAAAAATATTTTTTCCTCATTTCAAATCATGAAAATAAAATATCTTCATATAAATAATTATCAAAGACAAGACGTGCTGTAGTGGTAAAAATTATTGAGAAATTTTCATAAGTAAGATGATAACTATTGCCCATTTCAAAAGTGAGAATAAAAGTTTCAAATTTCAAAAATTAGATATTCGTTAAAATTTAATTATAATTTAATTAATTAATTATATATTTTATTAATTAAATACAAATCCATGCAATTTGGTCACAGATTTACAATTTAATTAGCTACATATTATTTTTTTTTATCACAAATTGGAATTTTATTAAGTTACAAATTATTTTATTGTCACAATTCAAAAATTTTGTAGGTCACAATTTGTTCATCAGTCACAAATAAAAAATTTATACGATCACAAATCACAAATATTATAGGTCATAATAGTCACATTATTAATTTCATAGGTCACACATTATTTCTTGATCACAATTTATCTTTTTTATTGGTAACATATTATTTATTGATCACAGATTAACCAATTTAATGGTCACCCAAATAATTTGTGACCACCTAATGTGAACTCGTGTAGACAAACGCTACCAAACCCACGATCAAGATTGAAAATCAACCCAAGAAAGTCAAAGCAAGGTTTTGGATTAAACTCAATAAATTTGGAACCAAACAACCCGAATGGCCGACGATGTACAGACTTCTTGATTCCGCAAAAATATGTAAATCTCACCCGGTTGATTTGATCGCCACAAGATTTAAATCTTAATAAGTTCGTAGATTGTCCAATTGAAGAACACAAGAAGAAAGCAATAAAAGTCTCTCAATAATAATAATGCCAAAAGTTGCAATACAATGAATACTAATGAGTATTTATACTAAAACCCTAAGATATGGTAAAAATGTGCATAATCTCCAAAATATGCTAAAATTATGGAAAGAAATAAATTTTATCAAAAAAAGGAAAATTCGTGAAATTTGGAACAATCCTCCCCTAAATAGACCCATGCAGTCGCATGGTTCAATTCCATGCGACCGTATGGAACAACCAAGTTCAGCCGATTGACACCCTACCTCTATCTGTGCGACCACAAGAGGTAGAGAACTATGCGGTACCATGGTTCTTCACTTCGGCTCCGTTTTCGTCCACTTTTAACACATTGATCCAAGCTTCTTCGGTCTTCGATCCCATCTTAAAACTTGCTCCATTTTAAATCTTGAACATGGTGTCATCAACAGTTGCCTTGACGAGCAATCACAACGCCTCTTTCACTCACTTCGCCCTCAATCGCGTCATCGGTCCACTATCGACTATCAATGGATAGTTTCCCGGGCTTGAAATTGGACTTGACTTCAACGCTTGCGTGTCCTAGATCACATCATCCCCTCCCTCTTCAAAAAGATTCATCCTCGAATCTAAACCTGCATCAAAGAGAAAAAGATCAGACACATCAAAAGTTGCTGAAACGTTATACTCAACTGGAAG